TTTTTCTTTTTTAATTTTATTAAGATTAATTTTTATGTATTTATTTATTTTTGAATTCAGTGGGGTGACATTGGTTAGTAGAAGTATGTAGGTTTCAGGTGTACAGTTCTATAATACATCATCTGCATGGTGCACTATCTGTTCACTACCTAAGTCCACTCTCCTCCATCACCATGTACCCCTCTTTCCCTTCTGCCCCCCGCACCCCCTTTCCCTCTGGCAATCAGCACATCGTTGTCTGTGTCTATGAACTCTTCTTTGTTTGCTCAATGCCTTTACTGTTTTCACTCAGCCCCCCAAGCCCCCAGCCCTCTGATGTCTGTCAGTCTGCTCGCTCTCTCTGAGTCTGTTTCTATTTTGTTTATTTTGTTCATTAGATTCCACATGTAAGTGAAATCATATGGTAACTTCTCTTTTTCTGACTGGCTTACTTCACATCTTCATCACCCCCTTATTTGCAAAAGGGAATAAAGTTGACACTGTGAAAATCGTCTGGGAGTCCTGAGCCTATCTTGTGGACAACATTTCCTAAAATGTTTTATGACAGTAGTTTTTTTTTTTTTTAGAATGTACCTCAAACCTTAGCAGTTACCACTGGATTTGTTAAAAAGTGTCCAATCCTCCGGTTTAATAAGCATAACGCAGTATGGAAAGCAGAATCTCTTTGTATTTTCTTTGGGGAGACAAAACTAATTTACATGAAAGGGGTAAAAATTATTTAAGTGCTAAATTAAAGGGCATGGAGTTAATGACAGTACTTGAGACCATCTTGTATTTAAGGAGCAGGTGGCTCCCTGGAGGGCGGGGCTGCATTTGCGACGTGTCTGCCGTTTGGTAGGCCTGTCGGGGACTCTCCCGACTTTCAAAAGTATTTTACACGGGGAGCCTGGTGCTCGAAGGAGGAAAACTTAAGTGAACAATTTTTTTTAACTTTGAAACAAGAAGATATCAAAAGTTAAGAAAAATCACTGATTGATGTCAGGTATTTTGCAGCCCCTTTGTCAGCTGAACTTCAGTGGCAAAGCTCTGCAGACGCGGGACGTATCCGCATCCGCATCGGTGAGGGAGGGGAGCAGGGACAGCCGCGCGTCCTGACGCCGCCTGACAACACTGCCATCCTCTAACATGGTTTTATTTAGTTATTACAACTATGTCTCTGTAAATGACATTTAGGATTATTTAAGATTATGTTGTAATCCTTTTAATCCTTAGTGCTTTAAATTTCAGGCTAAACACCAAAGAGCAAACTAGCACTTAGCAGGAATGTTTAAAACATGTGATTGGAACATCAATATTTTTATTCACTCTCGGTGATGAAGACCTAGTATTGCTCTTAAGTTAAGCAAGAAAACTCGTACCACAGTTCATTACAAATCACTGGGCGGCTAAATGTTTGCTCAAGCTACATCAAACTTGTGATGGTCCTTGACAATTATGCTGAATGCAGAATTAAACAAAAGTTAGCAGTAACGAACATTTATTAATTGAACTTAGAATTGGTAAAAACTTTTATAAGTACAAATATTTTTCTCTGTTTGTGTGGAAATGGTCACTGTTTCCTGAAGTCAACCTATTAGATGTGACCATATACATAGATGCACATACACTATATATGCATGCACGTGTGTGTGTATACACTTTTAAGATTGTTTTAGAGAAAGGGAGAGGGAGACAGAGCGGGGGATAGGGAGGGGGAGAGAGAGAGAGAGAGAGAGAGAGAGAGAGAGAGAGAGAGAAACACCAATGTTAGAGAGAAACACCAATCAGTTGCCTTCCATTCAAGCCCTGAATGGGGATTGAACCTGCAACCCAGGTTTGTGCCCCAACCATAATTGAACCTACAACCTTTTTGGTGCACAGAACAATGTTTCAACCAACTGAGGCACATGATATGGCTTGTCTGCATATACTTTATTATAGAAGTTGCTAATAATTTAAAAAAATGTATTATTTATTTTTAAGAAGTAACAATTAGGCCAGACTGTTCTGTTATGAAATATAAGCAGATGTTCTTGAACTCAGCCAGAGAGCATCATTCTGATTTACTGAGAGTTGTTGACTACCAAACAAACCTTAATACTTAATGTTGTCTCTGTTTTGTTACCATGTACCAATCAAATAAGACTGAATCTACATCAAGAGTTGAATAAAACCTTGATTATGAAGGAAATTTGGCTTTTAATACAAAAAGGAAATTGACAAATTCAGATGTCCAAATAGCATATACAGAAGAACAAAACAAATGAAATCCTTCCTTTTTATTTTCATTTTTGGTCACAAATATGTGCATCTGAGTCTTTCAAAGCATATCACAGGCACATAACTTTCTGTTTGTTTTCCTGTTCATTTTAAGTTTGACTTCTCTGCAGAAACTGTAATTATGTAGCATACAAGTGCTAATCCATCAACTTTTTAAAGACAGATTTCAAATTTTTAATTATTTCTAATTTTTCTCTTCTTTGATTTTTCTAGAACCAAAAATCTCAATAGCCATTTGCTATCTGTAATCTATAATTCATAGACTGAGAGTGAACACCAAGCCTAATTCAAACTTGGAAGTCTAAAGCTATTTCTGAGTAGCATGTCAGCTGAAGCTATGATGGTCTTTCTCAGACAGGAAGAAACACTTTATTATTCTGTAGGTAATGAAACCCTTGTGCACACACATTCAAACGTCCAACAATGTCTTAATACCGTGTTTTTGAAGTACAATCATGTTTATTCTGATCATTTGAGAGTTAGACCAGCTAATGTATCTAATCAAATATTGATGTAAGTCATCTAGATTTCGCTCTCTGGCTAATCCCTCCCAATGCTTTTCTGTTAACAGAACTATAAAAGCTATTTATATTGCTTCTCTCAAAAGGCTTACTCCCATAGTCTGCATCTACGAATACCTATTAGAAAATTTTACCTAAGCTCATGAGTTTAGGTGACAGAAAGATTTTAGCATGGCAAGAAAATCACATGATTCACCCCAAAAAGAACAAAGCAGGAAATGAAATTTGAATCTTTCATTAGTTTTCTTATTCACACCATCCTTATAAGCACCTCTTGTTTCTTTAAACGAAAGGGTACAAGACAAAAAAGAAAAGATAAACTGTATGCAAGAACACGGAGGTCCCAGGAATTGCTCAGGTTCCTTACAAACAAATCTAGCTGGCAAGATGGTCACCTCCAAAAAGCTACTGAGAGCGAGAATCATTTTAAATATCTTTGGAACTAACTATATTCAAAACTATGAAAAACAAGTAGAAAATATAACAAGAGATGATTTGTCATGATCAGAAAAGTGTAGGATGATACATATCATCAAAATAGGTGGTTTAAATGTCTATGTTTTGATGTTCCTAGCTATGTAAAATTATACATAAATAGTTATCATCAATAGGTGCAGCTCTGCATATATCATATATACGTGACTAGCATCCTCATTTGGAGCCGAATGTAATTCTTCGTAGGGTTAAAGGAAAGAACGGAGAAAAGCTGCCTTAGCCCGACTCTGAGTTTCTATTGTCCGAGAATTATACCAATGTCAAATTTTCATGTCTTTATTTTATAACATTGGTGATTAGGATGCTAAACTCAAAATAAATACAAATAAAACTAAGCCACTTAGCTCATGCAATCCAGTTTCCAAGTCATACTGATCATCTGTGTTGTCACAGAGACTAGGATTATAACCTTCAAACTTTGTCATTTAGGGTTGAATAGCAAAAAGAGTAAAAACTTGGGAGACAGTACATATCAGTGACCTGCAATTCCTCTACTTAAAACAGAATTTATTTTTCTTTCTTGATTCTGAAAATTCACATTCTAACTGCTTTTGGCTTTAGTATTTTGATTTCTAAGCAGGTATGCTTAGTTTCCTTTTCTTTCTTTTTATTTTATTTTATGTTTTATTTTTGGTAAAAAATATTTCCATATCAAAAGGAATACCTAAATAGAATAATACTAGAACCAGAAAAATAATGTATCCCAAAATAGGTTAAAAGTGATTTTTACCAAATTAACCTGAGTCAAAATTATTTGGATAAGCTGAATTAGCATCTGAAAAGTGAAGAACATACTAGAATCCAGATTTTTCTCCAGTGAAAGTTCACATAGAAAATGTCACCAAACTATACTCTGTAAGAGCCAATATATTAATGTAATGATGCATTTAAGAACATAACTGACTTCTTCCAGAGCCAAAATGTTCATAGAAGATATTTAATATATTAATTATAATAATCTAGTTTATTGGATACTAAATGATATAAGTTATAAAATATACCTATAAAACTATTGGTTACTTGGGAATATAAAAGTGAATTAAATCTCATATAAATATAAAAAAATCAACCTCCATAAATCTAAAGTTATTAATTGCCAAAGGGATTTTAGTAACATCATCTGTTAAATATTAAGTTTCCCCATTTTCTTTTTTCAAGAATTTCATCTGCTCTTTCCATTCAATGAAACATGATTAAAATTATTAATCATAGTTATTTTTTCCAAAAAGTTAAATTGTGCAATTTGAAAAGGTCCAATTCATATAGCTCTTCAGCTCTCTATATCACACTGAATTTCACTGGTAGGTGCAATTTATGACTAGGTGGCCAAATGGCAATGACGGCAAATAGTTTATCATAATACTGAACCTTACTTTGTGTATCTCTGAAAGCTCTACTTTAAATCAATTTAAGTCAAGCATTCTAGGACTGAACCCCAACCAGCTAGCAAATACATTGCAAAATTCAATGACTTTTGGTGTAGAATCAATCAACACACACCGTATATTTTGTGTTTAGATTGTAACCGGTCATGGGGGAGAAACAACAAAACAAACCAAAATTCATCAAGGAAGAAGAGTCTGTTTTCCACAATGACCTTCACACAACTGTTTGCAAATGAAAATGCACACGGGAACATCACAACAAGCAGTCTTACTTTGATTACCCAAGAGACCTCAGAGTCAGAAAGAACAGGAATACACTGAATATATGGAACACTCTTACCTGAAAGACATTCTTTCTGCTTGATTTTTCCTTGGCCCACTCAATATGTGCTCCACATAAATCCACACTTTCTGGTTTGTGCCCAGTTTTCTGTAAACAAAAATGAAATAAGAATAAAAAAAACATACAACACTAGGGATGCATGTCAAAAAAGAAAAAGAAAAAAAGAAAAGAGTTTATTGAGTTAGCAGCTATACATATTTATAATATAAAGCCTTTCTTTTTCCTTTTTTTTTTTTTAGTTTCAAAGAGGTACCTGAACCCTCATGTTCTTTGCAATATTATTTACAATAGCCAAGATATGAAAACAACCCAATTGTCTGTCAATGGATGAATAAATAAAGAAAATGTGATACACACACACACACACACAATGGAAAAAGTATTCAGCCATAATAAAATGGAAATCTTGCCATATGTGACAACATGGATGAACCGTAAAGGCATTATGCTACGTGAAGGAAGTCAGACAGGGAAAGACAAATACTCATCATCTCACTTACACATGGAATCTGAAAAGGTTGACTCAGAAACAGAGAGCAGTTTCCCCGCAGGTTGGAGTTGTTGGTCAAGAGTATAAACTTTTGGCTATCAAATAAGTTCTGGGGATCAAATGTATAGCATAATGATAATAGCTGACACTGTACTGTCTATTTGAAAGTTTGCTAAAAGAGTAAATAATAAATGTTTACGTTAAATACACAAACACACACGCCCTAGCCAGTTTGGCTCAGCGGTTAGAGCATTGGCTCTTGGACCAATAAGTCACAGGTTCGATTCTGGTCAAGGGCACCTACCTCGGTAGCAGTTTGTACCCAGCCTTGGTCGGGGTCATGCGGGAGGCAACCAGTAGATGTGGCTCTATCACATCGATGTTTCTCTCTGTCTCTCTCTCTCTCCCTTTGTCCCTCTCACTCTATCTGATGATAAATTAAAAAAATAAAAAGTATCCTAGAGTGAAGAATTAAAAAATAAATAAATACACACACACACACACACACACACATACACACAGGTAACCGTATGAGGTGAAGGATATGTTAACTAAGCTTTATGTGGTAATACTTATATACAGGGTAGGGAAAAGGTAGGTTTATAATTGTTCATATAGAAAGTAATATAATCATTAATAAGTAATATAAGAATAACACACAACTGTAAACCTACCTTTGCCCCACCCTGCATATATATCAAATCATCACATTATACACCTTAAACTTACACAGAGTTATTTGTCAATTATATCTCAATAAAGCTGTTAAAGGGACAAACACATTTAATTAATATTTATTAAATGTGAATTGTATATCTTTTAGAAATTCACTTTTCAGACTTTTAAGACTATACACATAAGTATATGTTTATTTATATTTAATAAATTTAACTTAGACCAAGTATATGGTAGCATATGCTTCCTTTTACACAATACACTGTGGGTATTACTTAAAAGCTGTTTTTACTTCTTTAATTTAAGGTACTCAATTAGTGGGAATATCATCTATACTTGCCTCTTCATATTTTCATTTGGTCCAAGTGAATTATACTTATATAACTTTGCATTTACATAACTCCAAATATTAAACAAAAGCTTACTAGTTTGGGAAATTTCTTAACAATTTTTAAAGAAAGTGATGCCACATTTCAAAGACTACTATTTTCGTGTGTTCTGAGCTAATCTAGACTTCTCTATAAATGCACAACTTTTCTCAAACCATTTTTTTGAAGAATAAAATTTTAGTATATAAGGCTTATAATAATAAATCTGTGCATAACTGGTGCCTCATAGCCACTATGACCAATTCTGTCAGTTTAATAGAAATAAACTGTTTTTAAGAAAAAGCCAGAAATATGTGGAGTTTTTTTTAATACTAAATTATGAGGGTTTTTTGACAACTCAGTAAAACTGTTGTGTTTTTTGTTTGTTTTTTGGTTGGTTGGTTGGTTTTGGAAACACTGTACAAGCCAAGCATACTTTCCTTCAGAATCAATTCAGCTGCAGGACAGCCACTGATAGAGTATCTTTCCTTTGTCATGTAGAAGTAGTCTTATGAGAAACCCATCAAGATGAGCATGCTTCTTACAGATGCTACAGACAGTGAAATATTTTCACTGGCTCATCTATACTGTGCTACTCAGGTGATCACGATTGTGCAAAATTTCAAACCATGAAAATGATCATTGTCGAGTGATGTGTGACATGAAAAAATTACAAAACAATCTGCTGCTATACAGCTAATTTAGTTATAGGACACTCAGAACCAACAAAAAGAATCATTAAGACTATGTAACTGCACTCTCTTTCCATAGAGTGCAGACAGGGGAAACGGAGTTGGAATTATTTTGTATAAGAAAAAATCATTATGTGCCAAGCATTATGACTATCAATTCACTTTATAATTTCCACAATTGTATGAAGTAGGTACTATTATTATCACCATGCTACAGGTAAGAAAATGTGCCAGAGCGGTTGGATAAAGTTTCTCCAGGTAACACAGGTAGAAAAGGAGGAGCCAGGATTGAAATGCGAGCAGGGTCTGTTCCTAACTACCATGTACTCCTTGAAAATGGAATTTACACTAAAATCATACTCATGTTAAACATGTAATGTTTTGGGAAAAGATATGCCTTTCATACTCTAATGTAGACATACTGATATTATTTCTCTCCTCTGTTAAACTTGAGCTTCCCGTTGGGCTTCATACCACCTGTTTAGCTGGTACACCCCCCAGTCTCCACGTGGCTGAGCCTTATCCATCAGATCCCAAGTAAACGTCACATGTCAGAGGTCTTCTCTGACTATCTTACAGAAGAGCAGCATTTCGGCACTCCTGCTTATGCTCCATCTCACTGTTTATGCTCTGTTCATACCAGCCCTCCTCCTAGCTGAAGTGAACATTTTACAGTCACACACACACACACACACACACACACACACACTTTTACATGCTGTCATTTTTCTCCCATGAGGATTAAGTTCCATGAGCTGGGGCCTCATTTGCCTTTTCCTCCACTATTTTCCCCAATATATGGAACAGTGCCGGGAATATCATTATTGTTCAATGAATATTTGCCGAATTCATGAATGAAGGAAAAGTACCAAAACGTAAGTAGCTTTCGTGCTTTGGAAGGAAGGTTTGGGCATCTCGAAATTCCCAATTTCACAACAATTAAAATTTGTATTTGGTTTAACAGTTAAACACTCTTGGCTTTGTGATTTGGAGAAGTGATAAACAGTTTAATGAACCCAGGCAGATTAAACCTAAGATTTCACAGAATCATTCATTAAACAAACATTTGTTGCATATCTATTATGTGTTAATGTACTAGCCACTGTGCTTGGCATTGGGACTCTAGAAAAAAAGAAGATACTGACTCTTCCTTTACGAATTCCATACTAGCTTCAGACTCTATAGAATTTTCTACGCACTCTCTCTTTATATGTGTAGAGCTAAAGGAGATCTCTGTGTGAAAATCGGTGTAAGTTTTCCCAGCATTGTCACCATCCAGCTTTAGCAACCTCTAACTCTTCTCATTATCATCACACACAATCCCATGGCTTTGGCATCCAGCTTGGGTGTATCTCAGGTGTATCTCAATCCAAACTCTGTCCATCACCCTTAGCCCCCTCCTGGTTCATTCATGACCGTGCCCACCTCTTGTGTTCTTCATGAGCTCACTGCTTCACCTGCTCCCCACTTTAACAATCTTCAGTCAGCTTCTTGCCTAACGAATCCCACTTTCTGAGTTTTCCTTACTCCCATCCTATTGTGTTTGCTTTTGATGTTATTGAAATCAGCAGACCTCTGTGCGTTCTTCCAGTCTCTCACTTTTCCTGGTTTCACTTCCTTCCACGTCCAGCCTATGCCCTGATTCAGCAGTCTCTTCACCCTCTCTTTCCATCAGTGTCCATCTGTCTGTCTGTTTCTCTCCTGCATTCAGTGGTGCATTCCACTCTCTCATCCATTTTTTTCTTCTTCTACAATCTTCGTTGTGTTGCCTAATTCTGGAGAAATAACTTTTGACTACTTGGTGTAACGACATTGCAAATAATGACCAATTTCTTCAAAAGGGCTTCTGACATTACTTAGCAAAACTTTTCAAAAATTTTAATTGTGATAAAGGCATTTAACATATCCATGAAATCATGGTCAAGTCTGATGTCACGAATTTGGCAAACTTTGCATGTGTTCCTAGTTACTTTCTCATCACACCTTTCTCCCGAAGCTTTACCCCTTTCAAATTGGCCCATCAAATGGCTTACTCCTGATTCACAGAATCCGCAGCCCTGGTGCTAGAACATTCACAATTCTTCCCGCTTTCCTAGTGAGTCTGTGTGATCAAAATGAACAAACAAATATAAACTTTGTTAAATTCCTATATGTCTTGCCCTCTGAAAGTTTTATATAAATTGCTCATCTATTCTATACAACAATGTGAAGTTATTGCTACGGCCTTTAACTTACATGGGAAGCGACTCAAGCGGGGAGTGGGGGAGTCCTTGCATGAGCTCCCACACTTATCAGTGCCTGAGCTGAGATATGTCATCACTGTTATCTGACTCTAAGTCCTAAATTCTTAATCGTTCTTAATCACAACACATACATGGCCTCTCCCCTATGTACATCCTTTCATTCTACTAGGTCACGCAATGCCCTTTTTCAGTCCAAATATAAGAATTCACAGTTTCTATTTCCTCCTACTGTCATTACATCCTGTTCTCCCTCTTGGCTTCTGCATTTCTGGATGTGGGACTGTGACTCTGGTCCACCTGTCTAATAAACTCCCATACCTTGATGACAGTGGCATCAAGGAACACTGAAATTAGTTGCCCTGTCAGTGCATAAGCAACTCATAGACATGTCTTGTTTTGCAATGATACTTCTTTGGCCCATGAGTTTTCCTTTCCAGTTCCTAATTCCATCCCATCTCACTCCTCACTTTCTGAGTTATCCCTCTTCTCCTGTATCTTCAATCTCCCTCTCTAAATAGATTATATCTTTGCCCTGGCCAGTGTGGTTCAGTTGGTTGGAGCATAGTCCTGTGTGCCAAAGATGGCAGGTTCAATTACAGGTGAGGGTATGTATCCCCTT